TTTGCCGAAATGCACATAGATCCTTGTATCTTTTTGTGGGTCCTGTGAAGAGGGAACTTGGAGGGAGGGGTTATTGCAATATTATTGTTAAGTCTCGGGCTTACACTGGTCCTCCTTCTCCTCATCCTCTTTCCCCTCCTCCTCCTCTTCCTCCTCCTCCTCCTCCTCCTCCTCCTCCTCGATCCCCAGAGCCCCTCGCGCCTGGAAGACCACGACGGAAGGTTCTTGTGGAGCGCGGGGTTGGGGGACGTCGCGCTCCAGGACTTCGCCGAGGGCGGTTCTCGGACACCGAGGAGGAGGAGGTGGAGGAGGAGGAGGAGATGGCCGAGGAGGAGGAGGAGGAGGAGGAGGAGAAAGGGGAGGAGGAGGAGGAGGAACGAAGGCCGACGAGGAAGAGGAGGAGGCCGAGGAGGAGGCGGTGGAGGCGGAGGAGAAGGCCTTCGGCACGCCCCGCCCGCAGGCCTGACGCACGCCTTCACGCCGTACTGAGAGGGCCGCCCCCCCCCGCCCAGCCCCCCGAGCGGTACGAGCGGATCCCCATCGATGCGGGGCGGGGGTCTCTCCGTCGCCGCCGCTTGGCACACCGAGCCGCCTGGACCTCTGGAGGCGACGGGCATGATATACTCCAGATCTCGTAATAAAAGGGAGGGGGTCTGGACCCTCCAAGACAAGCCATTTCAGACCTCCCCCGTGGGAGAACCCTCCAAAACATCGTCCCCAGACCCCCCCAGGCCCTCCGAGATAGCTTGGGAAAGACCCCCCCCCCGAAATGAGACCCCCCTCCCTTTGTTACGAAATCTGGAGTACAAGAAGCGGCGTTCCAGAGAGGGCCTCGCCTTCGAGAGGCGAAGGAAGAGGCGCCGGCTCCGCGGCGGGAGGGCGCCGGAACTCAAACAGGGAAGGCTCCGCCGGCGGAAGTCGGCGGAAGGGCAGCAGAAGGCGGCGTACCTGAAAGATGCGCCCCAAGAGATGGCAACATGTTTGAGTTCAGGGTTCCCAGGGCTTTATACAATATATATATATATATATATATATATATATACATAGTTGCACACATGTAAATATATAAACATAAAATATTATACATCAGAAATGTCTGCATGTATATATGTATATATATATATATATAGACGAACTGTGCAAATGCATCAAGGCGAATACGTGCAGCAATGCATGCAACATGCACGAGTTATGTGAGTATTTACACATCTGTGGGTAGTCCTGCCCCCGTGCTCCAAACGCCACGGCCCCCGCAGCTGTTCCGATACGTGGCGTGATGAGCCCGCCGCAGGCGCCGAAGTGCCGTCAGGGGCCCAGCTTTAAGTCGGGCCTGCCCCTCTACAAGAGGAATATCCAAAGTTAATGAACAAATGGTATGGGGACGATTTGTTGTTTAATATTTTGAATGATTTGTTTTTTATAATTTTCAATGTTTCGTGCAAAGTCCGCCTGTACGGGGACATGCCCGACCTAAGCCCAGCTGTCTCCGCATCCTCCGCCCCCCTGAGGCCCTGGGGACCCAGACCGCTGGTTCCGCAGGCGGCGGATATCGGGGACATCCCCGCCACGCACCTCCCCCCGCGCGCGCGCGGCGGCGCATGCCGGAGCCCGCCGGAGCGCCGGGCGGGCGTGCGGGAAAGGGGCGCGTTGGAGGCGATGATATGGGCGAATAGCCCCAGGGGGAGCAATATACGCATTCGCCCAGGAGCCTCGCCGAAGGCACGAACCATCGGCGCCCTTGGATACATGTCTTGATCTCCCCTGGGCTATTCGCCCTCATCGTCGCCCCTAAGCGCGCGTTCGCCCCGAGCCTCCGGCGTGATGAAACAACGTCCAGGGGGCAGTTCTTTCCCGATTTGGGCTTCTGGGGCCCTTCGCCGGGCCTGGGGAAGGACGAGCTCGACCGATAGTGTTTGTCACCAGGGCACACGCCAACAGAGCCCAGACACCACGAATCGCAGGGAGGGGAAACGTCCTCTGACTCGCCGTCGCGGTTGCCAAAAAGGGCGACGCTACCCAGGCCAACGCCTCTGAGTGTGGTTACCAAAGGCGGGTCTCAAATGTCGATCCCCCAAAAGCAAAGGGTCGGGAACTCCAGGGGTACACGCTGTGAGAAAATCACAGCGTGGAGTTATAGGAAGGGGCGTACCTTCCTGGGGCGGCGAAGGATGGGGAAGGCGGAGGAGGCGGAGGGAGGAGGGGAAGGCGGAGGAGGGGGAGGAGGAGGAGGAGGAGGAGGAGGAGGAGGAGGAGGAGGAGGAGGAGAAGGAGGAGGAGGAGGAGAATGGTGAGTTGGGGGAGCAGGAGAAGCAAATGCCCCCCCCCCAGCTAGAAGGAGGTGTCGGCCCCCCTGGTGGTGACCCCCCTGGACACTACCCAGCGAGCCAACACAGTAAGTTGGATCTCTTCTCCAGCGTGCGTCTCTTCCTGCCCGCGGCGTCGTCACCCAGCCTGTCGTCTCGACCACCTCGTCGAGGTGGCGTTGTGCATCGGCACCCTTGTCGACGACTCGGAGGGTGGGTCCGCGTCGATCTCGCGCAAGCTTGCCCGCCTTCGGGCGAAGAGAGCTACAGTGAGCCCGCACAGGCAGGATGGGCAGCTTTCCCAAGGATGCCCTCGCATCCTTACCCCCTCGGCCCATATCCTTGGCCACTTTCGTTGGCCCCGCCCCGCTCGAAAAGCTTCGAAATGGGCATCCCAGGCCCTTGCATCCTCATGGTGAACCCTTATGATACGGGCCGAATGCACAGCGGAGGCCAGTCGACAAGAAATCTTCCACAAGAGACCAAACCCTGAGACCCCATGGCGTGCATCGATTCTTGGCGTGGGAACGTCGCGCCGTCCATCGCAAGACCATCGAAGCCCAAGAAGCCCAGGGCACCCCAGAGACAGAAGCAGGGTGCTTCATGGCATGGGTCTCCACTGCATGCACACACGCCGATCCTGGCCAGGCCCATCCCGTGCCCAGGGCGATGGGCCTCCATGGCCAGGCCGGGAGGGCGTGTGCGCCGATGCCAGGCCTGGGCTTGGCCTGGTTGGGATCAAGTCGGGCACGTCCCTCGACAGGGGGAATATTCAAGAGTAGTTTTTTAGAAAAATGATGGGGACGAGTTTTTTATACTAGTCTAGAGTACGTTTGAGCATTGTTTGACTATCTTTTGTCATTATTCCAAAACCCGCCTGTAGCAGGACATGCCCGATCTAAGCATACTTTCGTTTTTGTTCTGCGCCTGGCCGTCCAAATTTGGTTCGAGCAGATAGGGTCGCGTCGACGATGCATCGGCGATGCATCTCGATGTGGCGCCGCGACTTTCTCCACGCCCTACATCCCCGATGCATCGCCGACGTCGCTGGCGCATAGGCGGTGTACCGCCGATGTATTGCGGATGCCGCGCGATCCTCCGACCCCATCTAATCAAACATCTTGCAACGCGGCGGCTGCGTGGTCAGCATGGTGTATGGCGTGTGCACCCGCAATGAGCGTGCACTTGCGCTCTGGAGAAATGAGGTCACACACTCGCCATCCTTGTCAAATGCGAATGCAAAGTGCTTGCGGGGTCCTGCTCATGATCCAGATTTCGCCGGCCCCTGCAGTTTGTATTGTTTGTTTGACGGGGGTGGTTGGGGGGCCATGCGGTGCATGGTCGGCAACTGCTCGAGTGGAGAAGAGGGCGTTCACCAACAAGCAGCAGTGGTAAAGCTACCCCCGAAGGGAGCACGAGGGTTGGAAGAGGAAGCGCCCTCAACCGCCTCCGCCCAGAGGGCTGGTGTGATATTGCCTGGGCCCCATGCTCCCTCGTGGCATCGAGAGGTCCTCTCGCCGCCGCCAGGCCCCTGCGCAGCCCGCGACGGCCCAGGCCCCCTCTCACCGGGCAGGCAGCGGCAGAGACAGCGGTACCCGACTCTACCCAGAGTCCTCGGAGGCACGTCTCCAGACTGGAGGACTCCTCCTCCTCCTCCTCCTCCTCCTCCTCCTCCTCCTCCTCCTCCTCATCCTCCTCCTCCTCCTCCCCCTCCCCCTCCTCCCCCTCCTCCCCGCGGCGTGGATCTCCCCCTCCGCGGCTTCCGCTTGTTCTCCTCCCGCCTCCCTCGATCGAGAGGTCCCTTCGCCGCCGACCGCCGCCTCGCAGCCCGGACCCTCCGACGGGCTGCATGTGTTCAAGCCCCCGGGCCCCACAGGTCCCGACCCCTTCCCCCGGGGGCAGCCGCTCGTTCCGGATGCGCTTGTTTGACGCAGCCCCGGCGGCAAAGAGGGGGGTGATGACTAGGGGGGGGGATATCATGGCGGGGGCCATGACATTTCCCCAGATCTCATGGCGCCTCTTCTTCTTTCAATTACGTCCCTGGCCCCCCCGCTGGGCCGCGCACGTACCGCCGGTCATGATTTGCACCCCCCCCTCTTGGACACCCCCCTCTTGGCCGCTCCCGAGCCCCGGGAGCTCGAAGTCGCCCCCCTGCGGAGGCCAGAAGCAGAGGAGACGCCAGCCCGCCCAGGCCCGAGGCCCTGGCCGCAGCCCAGACATCCTCCGGCAGGCTGTGCTCAATGCGCGGCCCCAGCGCTCCCGACCCCTTCCCCGGCACCAGCTTCTCGCCCCGGCCCCAGAGCTGGTGCTCCTGAGGCCCCGCACAGGGGCCCTGCAGTCCGAGATCGAGGAAGAACACATTGGGCTTGAGCATCATTCACGACCCCTTCCCCGGCACCAGCTTGTCGCCGCGGCCCCAGAGCTGGTGCTCCTGAGGCCCCGCGAAGATCGGGACAAAATCGGATCGGGATAACTCGAAATCTCTGAGAATCGGCGGGTTTGGAGGATGCGTTGGGCGCCGCGGCCGCTCCAGAGCGTTCTGGAACGCTCTGAGAGCGCTCCGGAACGCTCTGGAGCGATTTATCCCGATCCTAGCCCCGTTTTACATCGGGCTTGAGCATCATCCACAGATCGTCGGAGATCCAGGTCGCAGCGCGCGCAGCCCATGGCCTGGCCGTGAGCCGGGCAGTGGGCGGCATGTCCACCGCGGTGGGCCGCGCCGCAGCGGAGCTGGGCTTCGCCCCCGTGCGGGTGACGTGCGAGGTCAACCGCCCCGAGCTGGTGCCCTGGCCGCGCGCGGCCTCCTCCTGGATCCTCCTCCTCCTCATCCTCGATCCTCCTCCTCCTCCTCCTCCTCCTCCTTCTCCTCCTCCTCCTCCTCCTCCTCCTCTCCTCCTCGAGCCTCCTCCTCCTTGATCCTCCTCCTCCTCCTTCTCCTCCTCCTCCTCCTCCTCCTCCTCCTCCTCCTCCTCCTCCTCCTCCTCCTCCTCTCCCTCGATCTCGAATGTGAGTGAAAGTACCCCAACGTCAACCCCAAATCTGCGTATTGCTCGAACGCCAGGGCGCCTGACCAGCAGCTGGCCCCCGTGAGGGTCGCCACATTTCAAAGTCCAAGGCGCACGGCCCACAGCTGGGCCACAGAGCCTCCAGAGGTCTCCCGCCCACCAGGAGGAGCGTCATGCTTGTGAGGGTCGCCATGTTTCCAAGGCCAAGGAGCCTAGCCACCAGCTGGCCCAGCCCGCTGAAAGGAGCGCCATTCCAGTGAGGGCTGCTATTTTTCGAGGGCCAGGAACTTCCTGATCCGTGTGGGAGGTGTGCCGACGTGAGTGGGGCGTGGTTATTCGAAGCTTCCCTGTAAGTGCATTTTTTGTGGGGCAGCACGATTCGCGTGAGGGATGTGTCGGTATGCGATGGGGCCGTAGGTGGAACTCCCTGCGGGGCACGATCCCAGTGGTGGATGTGCCGAGATGGGTGGGGGGCTGTAGGTGTAGCTCCTCGAGGGCACGATCCGTGTGAGGGATGTGCCAAAATAGGCGGGGAGACGCAATTCAACGATGTATGCCCACGATTGCGCAGGTGTTCCCACGTGGCGATTGTGAAGGGATGGCGCGCGTACCCATCGGCTGATTGATATGACGCTGGCTTCGCCTTGGCTAGAACAACGCGCGCCTAAGATGGCACACGAGGGCCCCAAGAGGGGTCCACGACGGGGAACTGAAGCTGACATTATTGTGAGCCCTCCGCCAAAAGAGGACTCCAGAGGCCGCCAGCAGGCCCCCGATAGGCCCGCAAGGGCCCAACAGGGGGCCCCAAGAGGCCCCCAGGAGGCCCCGATAATCTTTTCCGCAGCCATTTTGGCTCAAGGAGAGGGGTGCGTTTCGTTTCAGGTCGTTCTGGCCTGCCTTCTCGGCACAGCTTTAGTTATTGTACCGAGTACCGAAGATGACCATTCAAAACACTTGCTTATATGTGATTGCGTGTCAATTGGTCCAAGTGGCCAGTCTGCACTTGCAGTCCGGTTACCTGAACACTGGACAGAAGCAGGGCAGTATCACGAATGCTGCGCCGAGTCCAGAGGAAGAGTTCAACACTTTCCTGAACACCCACGACGACATTCAGGACTACGCCCCGTCAGGCAGCACTGGAGTCATGGTCGACTCCGTTCACGGGGACTACGGCCCGTTCCTCGTCGTCTACCTGACTTACCAGGGGGCAACTCCCACTAAGACTCTCTCGGAGGTCCAGGGCATGTTTTGGAATTCGCCCGGTTTGAACGACTCTCTGTATCATAGCTCGTGGCACACGGCTTGGATCTCGTCCTCCAACGTCGACTTCTTCACGATGGAGTCTACGGAGGACCCAGCACTTTGGGGATTAAACTTCTGGTCACTGTATATCAGTGTGTCCTCCCAACCACTGTATCAAGCACAGGTCAGCACCAGGAGTTACAAGCATACGATGGTGATTGCACCCGGAAGCACTTTCGCTGCCACCGCGTATTTCCCTTCAACTGGTGCTTGGAACGGGTGGTCCCAGTATTACGGGAGCGCCATTACTTGGAATACGATGTTCCACGAACTAGGGCACAATTGGGGCCTTCACCACGCAGGAGGCTATTGGAGCGATGGGTCGTTCCAGCAGTATTTGGACGATGCGGTGATGGGCTATCAGCGGGAGTGGCGGAACTCAGACCCGAATGTGGTGGCGCGCTACAGGATGGGCTGGCTCACGGGAGCCGAGGTCGAGGAGTTCGTTCGGGGCTCTGACCACCACACGGTCAACATCTCTGCTCTCAACGAGGGGCCGACTGGTGCACCATTTTTGATGGTGAAAATTCCGTGCGATGAGTGTGTAGGGGCGAGTGCTTCTGTCGCAGGTGCGGGCGCTCTCTACCTCTCCTTCCGCACGGCCGACACGCCAGCCCTGTACGGCATCGACGACATGGGGACTATCAGCCTCTATGACAAGTTCACTTCTGCGTATCTGACGCTGGCCGACCGCGTCCACGTGCACTTCCAGCCCGACGCCAGTATGATAACCGAGCTGTGGACCACTCTGGCAGCGGGAGAGACACTCGAAATCGCCAGTGCAACCATGTGGATCCATGTCTGCAGCATCGATGCCGCGAGCCATGCCAAGGTAAGTATCTCAGACACGAGCGAAGCCCTAGCGCAGGCAGGGTGCCCGTTGTCAGCACCGACGCCAATCCCGACGCCCGCACCACCGACTCCAGCGACTCCAGCTCCGACTGAGGGAGCCTCGTCCGCCGTGGGCGATCCCCACCTGCAAAATGTGCTTGGCCAGCGATTCGATTTGATGCAGCCAGGCACTCATGTTCTTCTAAGCATCCCTCGCGGATCGAGCGCTGAAAATGCAATGCTTCGCGTGCAGGCCGATGCGCGCCGATTGGGGGCGCATTGTTCGGACATGTATTTCCAGGAGGTCAACATTACGGGGTCTTGGGCAGAGGCAAAAAAGGTCGGAGGGTATCGTTACGGCGTATCGCAGCGCACTGGCGAGACTCCAGAGTGGATTGCTTTTGGCAAGGTCGAGCTGAAAGTCGCTCATGGACGTACTCACGGTGGCCTGCAGTATTTGAACGTGTACGTGAAGCATTTGGGGCTGGCAGGATGCGTCGTCGGGGGTCTATTGGGAGAGGACGACCACACGAGCGTCGCACAGAGTCCAGAGTGGTGCCACACGACACTTGCTCTTATGACGATGGACGATGCGGGATTCTGACGGCCAGGGTCCCTTTATGGCGTCACTAGCGGCAGCAGCCTTCGCGTGACCGCGTTGCAGCTCCCTCCCCCGCGGATCTGCGGCGTCGGCTATACCACCCGAGAGTCGGCTGGCTTTTGAACCTGGGCCACATTCAACATATATGTGTGCTATCATTTATAATATTTTTAGTCGGCGACTTCGAGGAGTTGGATGCCTCCTCCTCCTCCTCATCACCTTTTGCCCTCCTGCGCCACCTCCCGCGGAGCCGAGGAGCCGAGGCTCCTCGGGCCACTGTTGCTGCCTCCTCTTGGCTGGCTGTAGCCTCGGCGCGAGCTGCCGCCCGCGGCCTGCCTCTCCCGTTTGCCCCACCGTTCAGAAGAAAAAGGAGGCCCCGAGAATCTTCGAAACTCGCGTCACGGGGCGCCCGAGAAGCGTGCCAAGACACCCCTCTGTGCAGGCATGTGTAGCGCAGAGCGCAGGTCTCTTTTCAAGGACTGCGCGCCGCGGGGCAATACGGATAGCGGGCTGCTGCGGAGCACGCGTGCACGGGGGTGCCGAACTCCTTGTAGGGCACGATCCGCGTGAAGGGTGTACCGAACAGCTCGGATGTCCACGCGCGAACACGCCTGCTGAGGCTGCAGGTGGAGCTCTTCTTGGCACGGCCCGTGCGAGACACGCTTCAAAAAGGCGGGGGACCGCCATGCGAAGCGGCCCACTTGTGCCACAGCTTGAGCTTCTTCTATGGCATGATTTGCGCGACGGGAGTCCTGAGAAGCCATAGCGGTTCAACATCGAAGCCTCTTTGGCTTTGCAACATGCCCATCCGGCAAAGTGCTTCTGAAAGCAGGTAAGCGGTTGATTTCAGTCGTTTTGCCAGCTTCTCGGGGGCATCTTGGGCCGTCTTGGTGCGCTGCTGGCCCGTCAGGCGCATCCGGAAACCGTCGCGGAAGCCTCGGGGGCCTGTCATGTGATGTTTCGGTCGTTGTAGGGCCGCCTTGGGGCGCCCTTTTGGTGCTGACTTTTGGACCTCTTGGGGGCCATATTGTAGCAATTTGGCCGTCTTGGGACCATGGGGGGCCTCTTCCGCCGCCTTCAGACTGTTGGGCCCTCTTTGGCTGCTGGAAATCCGAAAAGGTGAGAAAGTGAACACCATTAGAACCGTTGAAACAACAGTGTTTGGGCTTTTCAGGCTGTCCTGGAAAGCCTCGGGCCCCCTCCAGGCCATCTTAGCCGTCTCGGAGGCGTATGGGGCGAACTTGAAGGTTTCGTTTGGCTGTCGTGCCATCTTGGAGGCCACCTGTGACCGTCGTGGGCCGTTCGGACCCGTCTTGCGAGCCATCTTGTTCCATGTTGGCCGGCTTAATGCGCGGTGGCGGCGGCCCGGCCGAGAGCCACAACGACTATTCCGGAAGGGCCAGCCGTGTCAGAAGATTTGACAGGCCGCGCACCCTTTTTGTCAGCAGCAGGGGGCGACGGATCGAAGACGCCTACGGCGAGTCATCGCCGTCTCTTGCTGATTGGGAAACGCCAGCGTGGCTACTCGTCGGGGTGAGTTTGGGCAAATTCTTGGACTGCAAGCTGCCCAGCCGTTGTAAAAGCTATTTGACGAACATGAGATGGCCTTATGGGGGGACCTTCTTGGGGTATCGTGGGGGCCTCTTGGGAGCATTTTGAGGATCCCTTGTTGGCCTCCGGGGGCGTCTGTTGAACCTCTTGGGCCGCTTTGAAACTATCTTAGAGCGTCTAGGGGCTTCTCTGGGTCGTTGTCAAGCCATCTTGAGGCTTTGAAAGGAAGAGCACAAGCGCCGGGCCAAGGGTTGCCCATGCATTGCTCGAGCAGGAAGGTGAAACGCTATAGGACATATGACATTTCAAAAAGAACCACGGAGCGTCGGAAGGCCAACGATGCCCCCAGATATCCCAAGAGGGCTCAAAGACGTTCAAGGATGACCTTCAAACGGCCCAGCATGCCCAAAATATTCCACTGTTTGTTTGTTGGATGTCCTTGTGCATCCTGGGGAGGGTACCCTCGGATGTTCTGTGTGCTTTGGCCGGCGGAGGGTCTCATGTTCTTGAGGGGTGTTCTCCGGTCCGATTGCATCAAGTATATGCATATAATGTTTCAAAACAGTGTGAGGGTGTCTGTGTCCCTCCAGGGGGCCTCTGCAGGCCTTCGGTGATATTCTCCTCCTACCCCCTCCGCCGCTTCCTCCTCATCCTGTTTGTCTCCCGCTCGCCAGCGTTTAACCAGTTGGTCGACGCGCCTATCACTCCTTTCCCTCCTCCTCCTCCGCCTTCTCCTCCTCTTCCTCCTCTTCTTCCTCCTCCTTTCCCTCCTCCTCCTCATCCGCCTCCTCCTCCTCCTTCCCCTCTTCCTCCTCCTCCTCCTCCTCCTCCTCCTCCTCCTCCTCCTCCTCCTCTCGCGTGGCTGTCGTTCGTCTTGTCGGGATTATTCTGTCCCGGTCCTCTTCCTTCTGCGTGGCTGTCGTTCGTCGTCTGTCGGTCATGGAGAGACCCTCATGCAGCCAAGCTCTCGCGCCAGCCTCTCTTCGGACGGATCGGCGCGCATCAGCCTACGTCTACTCCTCGTTTTCATTGTCACCGTTGTCCTCGTTCTCTGGAACTCGGGTTTTCCGCGGAGCACAAAGATTAGAAAACGGTGGGCGGGATCGGAGGATGCGGTCTGTTGAACGTGTTTTGTTACTCTTCTTTGGTTTCTTCTCCATGTTTTCTGCCCGTGTGTGTGTGGTGTGTGTGTGTGTGGGTGGGTGGGTGGGTGGGTGGGTGGGTGGGTGGTGTGTGTGGGGTTGGAGGGATTTGTCCTCTTCCCGCACCCCCAAAGCAAAAGTCTGGGAGGGGAGGCAGCGGGACGAGGACAAATCCAGCACACGCAGACACACGCGCAGACCACCAACTTCCCCTCCTCTCAATACTCCTGGGTGGTTTTTCCCAATCCCCGCCCCACCCAACAAAAAACGAAAAACACAGAAAACAACAACAAATGAACGTCCGCCTCGCTTTTCCCAACTATCCTGTGGTGTTGGGTCCTCGTTTTGAGGAGACGGTCCCCGCTTTCATTCTCCTCCTCCTCCCCCTCCTCCTCCTCCTCCTCCTCCTCCTCCTCCTCCTCCCGCTGCCCCCTCTTCCACTCCCTCCCCCTCCTCTCGTCACCCCCCTCACTTTGGCACACCCAGTACAGCGCTTCGTCGCCCCATAGGGAGCTCCACCGAAGACCCCAGTGGGGGTGCCCGCACGCGCCCGCCACATCCAGTACACACTTCGTGGCCGAACAGGGAGCTCCACCGAAGGCCCCAGTGAGGGGTGCCCGCATGCGTCCGCCACACCCAGTACAACGCTTCGTGGCCCCAGTTGGGGTGCCCGCGTGCGTCCGCCACACCGAGTACAGCGCCTCGTGGCCCCATGGGTAGCTCCACCGAAAGGCCCCAGTGGGGGCGCCCGCACGTGTCCGCCACACCCAGTACAGCGCTTCGAGGCCCCATGGGGAGCTCCACCGCCACACTCAGTACAGCGCGTCGTGGCCCCATAGGGACCTCCACCGAAAATTCGCAGACGTCTCAATTATTTGCCCCCCCTGCTCGTACTGCCCCGCGCCTCGTACTTCCCACGGCCCGCTGCGTATGAGAACAGCGGGCATACGTACCGCATGCGCTACTCGGGGTTTGAGTCCCGTCCTCTTTCGTCTCATCTCCCTCGCGGTTGCCGCAGATGCACATGGTTGGGTCTTTCGTCAGGATAATCTTCCCAACCCTCCCTCGATCTCGAATGTGAGTGAAAGTACCCCAGCGTCACCCCCAACTCTGCGTATTGCTCGAACGCCAGGGCGCCTGGCCAGCAGCTGGCCCCCGTGAGGGTCGCCACATTTCAAAGTCCAAGGCGCACGGCCCACAGCTGGGCCACAGAGCCTCCAGAGGTCTCCCGCCCACCAGGAGGAGCGCCATGCTTGTGAGGATCGCCATGTTTCCAAGGCCAAGGAGCCTAGCCACCAGCTGGCCCAGCCCGCTGAAAGGAGCGCCATTCCAGTGAGGGCTGCTATTCTTCGAGGGCCAGGAACTTCCTGATCCGTGTGGGAGGTGTGCCGACGTGAGTGGGGCGAGGTTATTCGAAGCTTCCCTGTAAGTGCATTTTTTGTGGGGCAGCACGATTCGCGTGAGGGATGTGTCGGTATGCGATGGGGCCGTAGGTGGAACTCCCTGCGGGGCACGATCCCAGTGGTGGATGTGCCGAGATGGGTGGGGGGCTGTAGGTGTAGCTCCTCGAGGGCACGATCCGTGTGAGGGATGTGCCAAAATAGGCGGGGAGACGCAATTCAACGATGTATGCCCACGATTGCGCAGGTGTTCCCACGTGGCGATTGTGAAGGGATGGCGCGCGTACCCATCGGCTGATTGATATGACGCTGGCTTCGCCTTGGCTAGAACAACGCGCGCCTAAGATGGCACACGAGGGCCCCAAGAGGGGTCCACGACGGGGAACTGAAGCTGACATTATTGTGAGCCCTCCGCCAAAAGAGGACTCCAGAGGCCGCCAGCAGGCCCCCGATAGGCCCGCAAGGGCCCAACAGGGGGCCCCAAGAGGCCCCCAGGAGGCCCCGATAATCTTTTCCGTAGCCATTTTGGCTCAAGGAGAGGGGTGCGTTTCGTTTCAGGTCGTTCTGGCCTGCCTTCTCGGCACAGCTTTAGTTATTGTACCGAGTACCGAAGATGACCATTCAAAACACTTGCTTATATGTGATTGCGTGTCAATTGGTCCAAGTGGCCAGTCTGCACTTGCAGTCCGGTTACCTGAACACTGGACAGAAGCAGGGCAGTATCACGAATGCTGCGCCGAGTCCAGAGGAAGAGTTCAACACCTTCCTGAACACCCACGACGACATTCAGGACTACGCCCCGACAGGCAGCACTGGAGTCATGGTCGACTCCGTTCACGGGGACTACGGCCCGTTCCTCGTCGTCTACCTGACTTACCAGGGGGCAACTCCCACTAAGACTCTCTCGGAGGTCCAGGGCATGTTTTGGAATTCGCCCGGTTTGAACGACTCTCTGTATCATAGCTCGTGGCACACGGCTTGGATCTCGTCCTCCAACGTCGACTTCTTCACGATGGAGTCTACGGAGGACCCAGCACTTTGGGGATTAAACTTCTGGTCACTGTATATCAGTGTGTCCTCCCAACCACTGTATCAAGCACAGGTCAGCACCAGGAGTTACAAGCATACGATGGTGATTGCACCCGGAAGCACTTTCGCTGCCACCGCGTATTTCCCTTCAATTGGTGCTTGGAACGGGTGGTCCCAGTATTACGGGAGCGCCATTACTTGGAATACGATGTTCCACGAACTAGGGCACAATTGGGGCCTTCACCACGCAGGAGGCTATTGGAGCGATGGGTCGTTCCAGCAGTATTTGGACGATGCGGTGATGGGCTATCAGCGGGAGTGGCGGAACTCAGACCCGAATGTGGTGGCGCGCTACAGGATGGGCTGGCTCACGGGAGCCGAGGTCGAGGAGTTCGTTCGGGGCTCTGACCACCACACGGTCAACATCTCTGCTCTCAACGAGGGGCCGACTGGTGCACCATTTTTGATGGTGAAAATTCCGTGCGATGAGTGTGTAGGGGCGAGTGCTTCTGTCGCAGGTGCGGGCGCTCTCTACCTCTCC